GTGTGTCTGTGTGTGTGTGTGTCTGTGTGTGTGTGTGTCTGTGTGTGTGTGTGTGTGTCTGTGCGTGTGTGTGTGTGTGTGTGTCTGTGTGTGTGTGTGTGTCTGTGTGTGTGTGTGTCTGTGTGTGTGTGTGTCTGTGTGTGTGTGTGTGTCTGTGTGTGTGTGTCTGTGCGTGTGTCTGTGTGTGTGTCTGTGTGTGTGTCTGTGTGTTTGTGTCTGTGTCTGTGTGTCTGTGTGTCTGTGTGTGTGTCTGTGTGTGTGTCTGTGTGCGTGTGTGTGTCTGTGTGTGTGTGTCTGTGTATGTGTGTGTCTGTGTGTCTGTGTGTCTGTGTGTGTGTCTGTGTGTGTGTCTGTGTCTGTGTGTGTGCGTCTGTGTGTGTGTGTGTGTCTGTGTGTGTGTGTGTGCCTGTGTGTCTGTGTGTGTGTGTGTGTGTCTGTGTGTGTGTGTGTGCGCGTGTGCGTGCGCGTGTGCGTGTGCGTGTGCGTGTGCGTGTGCGTGTGCGTGTGCGTGTGCGTGTGCGTGTGCGTGTGCGTGTGCGTGTGCGTGTGCGTGTACGTGAACGTGTGTGAATGTGTGAATGTGTGAACGTGTGCGTGCGTGTGTGTGAAGGAGTGTGACAGCACGAAGGTGTGTGAAGGACTTAAGTGTGAGATTGTGCACACGCGTGCAGCATCATCGTCATGGACATAACTTCGCGAACCTGCGAACACCGAGCAGCTGCCTCGGGTCGGGGATCAGTTGCCATGAGCTCGACCACGGTGACAGGCCACTGCATCTGGGAGCCTTTTGGGCAGGCCTTGCAAGTCACAGACTCACAAAGGCAAAATCCATGGGATGCGCTGAATAATACAGCTCATGTTGGCCTGTGGTTCAAGGTCTGAGCTTGTTGTTCTGGACAGTCGCACGAGGCGAAAAAGTGTACCAGCAGGATAGATCCTCAAAGTCTCATGCCTTCATACAGCCCAGTGCAAACACATGGAATGGTTGTGGCATGTAGATGGGCCAAATTTGGCAATATGGACGGCTTCAAGAACCCTAAGCCGGAAAAAACAATAACTCAATAACGGGTGGACAAAAGTTCTTTGTGCGATTGATGTTTTGCGCGTGCATCGTGTGTCAAACTGCTGATGGCAGACAGGGCAACAGCCCTTACATCACAACTGCATGACAGCAAAAAACTCTGTTGACACGGTGCCGAGCAGGCAAGCGCCTGCTGGCGTCCAACAAACCAGGGGACGTCTTCACAGTTCAAGGATAACATATTGCAAAACATTCGACGTGTTGCCATTGTAATGCCCTTGTAGCCTCCGCAAAAAACGTACCGGCTGAGCAGGCCACACATCATCGCCTCCACCTCTGAGCGCCATGTGCTCTGGGTAGCTGGGAGACCTTGCTAGCTAAAGTGCAGCGCTTGGAATCCTCCGCCCTTGGTTGCGGGCTTCAGGTCCGGCTGGATTGCCAAGAGCACCTCGGACCAAATATCTCCTCAAACTCACACCGGCTGAGGGCTGCGCATTGGAGTTGGTCTGCACCTGATTTGTACGTCTACCATCATAACCAGTGATCTCGCCTTGCAATCGTCTTCCTTGAACTAACGCTGAGGAAACCACAAGCCGCTTGCCAGCATCCCAGCGAGAAGCCTCATCAGCGCAAAGGAAGCCAGGCACTGCTGGCAAAAAACTGAGTGCTGCCACAAATGCCGTTGGGAAGGATCCACTGCCTTGGCCATCACTCTGGTGGCAAACGTGAATTTTCACGCACGGTGTCTCTATAGCTGAGGGAGCTGCCCAAAGCAAACCATGAGCCAGCCCAAGCCTGCCGGATCGCAAGGCAGGACCAAAGTCCCAGAGGCTAGCCGAAACTCCGTGCCTCGTTGGCCTTCCTGCAGCCCATGTTCATCAACCAACCAGTTTATTACTAGGGGGGTGTTCCGGAGTTGCCCTCCGAAAGTGATTCCACACTAAACCTAGGACACGCCCTATTAAACTGGGGTTGATTCATATGGGGTCAACATTAGACATTGATAAGCACCATGGCGATGGTGTCGGTGCTGCACGCAGGAATCAGGTCGCCTGAGAACCAGACTTGCTGTCATCTTTGTTTGCCAAGTACCTGCGAAGCAAAAAAATGTGCAGTTGCAAAGAACACGCGAACACCGCACTCACACATGTCCACAAGTGCAAAACGGTGAAGCAACTACGCAGGGAACTTGTCAATCAGGTCCTGCAAACCTGTGGAAGGGACGACCTCTGTGCGCCAGCATCTGCACAACCGCCTATGCAAGCGTCACCTTGCATCAATTGTTGATAGCGATAGGCGCCCCTGCCAAAGGCCGGAAAGTAACACCTTCGTGTCGCACCTCGGATATAAGCCGGCTATTTTGGCCGCCTTTCGAATCTAGGCAAGGCTTGCACTCCATTGCAGCGGAAAAAGCAGGTAGCAGCTTGTACCAGTTGCCTGTCACGCAAGTAGTACGCATAGAACTTGAGGCTTTGCCACTGTGCCGGCTTTGCGCTAGGGGCGACAGCGCCTGCCACAGTCGGTTTTCATGCAGCAACATGAAACACCGTTAGAGGCAACTCAGCGGCGCCACTTTGCAACTTAAGAACGAAGGAACAAAAAAACTACCCCTCGCCTCGGTCAACTCCTTCATCGGAAAGGGCGACGCAAAAAGGTAACTGCCATCCTGCCGGCTGCTGCGACCACACATGAGAAGCTGTCTTGCCACATTGGCCTCCTCGCATCCGCGCAAGGCACCTTCCGGACTGAACTTACGTGCCAAAAACACCCCAAAAAGCAGCGCCTGCGATTGCTTCTAGGACGTGAGGCAGCCACGACTCCCTGGTATAAAGCCTTGAAGTGACTGCCACGACTAAAAAGTTGAAACCAGATCTCAGCTAGAGCGGTTACTTTTGCCTATTTCAGTCAAAGCACCACAGAACGCCCAGGTAGAGTTGCTGAAGGCTACCTGCGAAAAAAGCTTCTTGCACTGCGAAAGATACATGTCACACCCGTCCTGGTGCTCTTGTCAGCTGTGCCTGCAAAGTCAACCCCCCTGACACACAACCATCGATGGCCGCAAAATGCGCCGGCTGCGCCATCCTTTTTGCGCTGAGGTGCGTGTGCCAGAACTCCTCAACCTGCCCAAAGGGCACAGGGCAATGAAGTTTGCCAAGTTTGCCAAGTTTTGGAGTGCAGTTGAGTGTGTGTGTGTGTGTGTGTGTGTTTATTGTTTGAAGGTATCCTTGTGTTTGTCATGTTTAAAGGAAGCCAAGAGAAGAAAAAAAATAAACTTTTGGGTGGGTCCGCTAAAGAAAAGACACACCCAGCTGCTGCCACAGAAGGGGTAGCATGATCACATTTGGCATGCGCGAGTTGCAAGGAATGCATGAACGGACGCCAGATTAGCTCAACACCCGAACCAACCGGACATTGCACCAACATGGAACTAGATTGGACCAACATGGAACTGCTTGATTGATTGGTATCGGCGTAGAATCCAAACACATGAGCACCATTTTGGCTGGAAAAGACCTGAAGCATGACAGCTTAACATTGGGCGCAGCAACATGAAGCACGAAGCGTCGTCCGAACAAGACTCAACGCAAACCCTACGTTGTTGATGTTCGCATGTAGCATCGTTACAACGCAGGCAGCATCTTTTGGACGCGCAGGCACGCAGTTTTCGATCCGCAGCCGGGCAGCAAAGGACGTGTGGCAAGTCCAAGAGGGGCGAAATTAGTTCAGGCACTGAGGCGTGAAGAGAACCGAGAAGCCACTTGCAAGCAAGCACGAACAAAGACCCTGCAGCTAAGGCTGTTCGCGAAACTGAGACGTTTGCTGGCCCCAGTTGCCAGGTAGTGACCCAAGCGCGACAAGCAAGCCCAGCCAGCCACAAAGCGCCTAGCAGCAAACCAAGCTGGGACAAGTAAGGGAAAAGCAAACGCATCAGCATGACCAAGTACTAGTTGACGCACAGCAACATCGGTGCTTACACGTGTACCCTTCCTGGTTCTCCTCATTTGGCACCGTACAAGCAGCAAGTTGCTTGATCCTGCACCCGTATTCCCATCCATCACGATTCCTGCTTGGATTGACGAATCAGTACGCAAAACAAGCAGCATGAGCTACACCTTCAGCAGTCTTCTAAGGTTTGCAATATGTTTTGCAGGATTGCAGCCAAGAGTCTCTCATGTTTTGGATGTCGAAAACAACGCATATAACTTTGAATTGGGCTGTGGGTTAAAACCCATGGCACCATTTGGGGTAGGTGCACCACCCATTGGACTCTATTTTAGTGGGGATTGGGATGTTCGCTGGGGGTACGGGATTGGACCCATGGCCATATTGCGCTCTGGCCTCTGTCTCCGCAAGCTTCGATGCATCCAGCCGTATCCTGACCGGGCAATAGATCCGAATCCGCTAAAACTGATACTCCAAGGGTCTTTTAATTACACGCCCCTCTGGGGAATCACCCTATTTTAGCCTATTTCCAGATCAACTTGGATATGTTTGCACATTTGGGACGATTTCGGGAACTTCCCTAGGCTGTGATCACCGGGGGGTGTGATAGAAAAATTGTTAGAGATCCAGAAGGGCCTCTGCCAGCGAACTCTCAGGTCCAAAGTCTTGGCGAGCGCTTTCAAACTCGCGTCCGACCTCGGCTCAATGCGTCTCCGCACATCACGTCCAACGCGATTACGCCGATTGCGCTTGCGGCCTTGACTGCGTCCAACGAGTCGATAGCAGGAGGTCCTGCAAAACTCGGATCAATGAACAGGAAGAGTGTCCAGAGCTGCCCACCTCGGCCTTCTGTAGACCAGCAAATGCCTCGCTCCAGTGTTGCAACATCTTGAGATTTATGGCATCTCAGGCTTGTCCCCAATGGAATTCAAAAGAAACTGACTGTCGTTGAATCACAATTAAGAACTACTCCCATGTGGTGCCCCCTTAAAGTGGGTGATATCCACTAGTTTCCCGTAGGCGACAAACCCAAGAAGATCCAAGAAGACAAACCCATGTCAACCAAAAGAGCCTCATCAAGCACCTGCTCCAATCCAGGCCCTTCCTGCGGCCCGCGAACGCCCAGAAAATTCGGAAAAGCCCAAACGCCAACAACTACCGTGTCTCGGCAAAACAAAACCAAGAATCGATGTGCATTCAGTATGCTTGCGGCACAAATCATGCGGAGTGCATGTCAAAACGTGGTGCGCAGAGTGGCTGGCCTCGATGTTCATCCACAGCTGGCCAATCAAGCAGGTACCCACTGAAGCCTCCCACGTGCTCCGCACGCATTCAAGGGAAACTCTGCGAGTCAACAAAGAAGTGTGGGGCTTCACTGTCCTGATGCAGCAGCCTCATGTCTTGCTTTGACGGAGAAGACCTTGCCCCAAGAGGCGAGGTCTCTCAACCCCTTGACGCATTGCGCACACCCAGCTTCGCACGTCGCGAGTTCCACAGGGGCGAGCAAGCCTCCATAGACTCCTTCGCAGCACATTCTCCCTCCCTCTATCATTTGACTGCAGTTCCAAGGCAAACAACATGCCAAAACACATTGCTTCGGGAAACGAGTCCTTGTCGTCCCAGTTGGCCAAAGTACTGCTGCTCCGCATCCAGCTGCATGTCTCCAAACACCTCGCAGACAAAGACTAGATCTTTCTCACAGACCCCTTGACAAAACCCCAATCCGAAAGAAAAAATATGGCACTTTAGTCCTAGTTGGGGCAGAGTCAACTCTTTTACCCTGAGTTTACTTCATACGTACCTTGACTGAAGGAGTATGTCCCAGGGGTAAAGAACTCTATTGAATTGTTGCCTAGCTGGGTAATGCCAAACATGCCTGCAACCTTCCGACTGCCTCCAACGCGGTGCACAAAGCACTGCAGCCAGCGACTGCAGCCAGCGTCCCCGGAGTGTCACCAGCATTGTCAACAAATTCCTTGGGCAAAATGCAATTCGGGCACTGGAACTCGCTTGTGGCAACTGCGAATGATTGGGGGCCCGACCGTTAAGCTTGCGTAGCGGTTGATGCTTTGCACTCGATCCAACACGAGCAAAGCTGTCAACCTTAGGTCAACTGTGATCTGTGATTTGCTTGCCACTTGTTCAACGCATGTTTTCTTCCTGTGAACATTTGCGCATGCGCACTTCTGCTTCTCATCTCAGGAGGTGACTTTGCTACACCAACAGAAAGCCACTACAAGCTATTGCCATTGTCAATGCTCGTGACACAGTTGCACCTTTGTTATTTGCTCAAATAAACGACCACCTACCACCATCACTTGAGTTCAAAGAATTGGTGCTGCAACGAGCCGCGAAAAGAATTGAAAGGTCCCAAGCGAAATCAAGCCCGAACATGACCTTCAGGAGTGCGTGATTCACAAATATGGTGGCAAACAACTAGACGGGTCCGTCACTCTCGTACCCGACCTCAAGCAGCATACGCAGTCCTTTTCACCCCGCCGCAAATGGCTGGTCACGAAAACTGGGGAGTGTGTCTCTCTTTTCCCCTCGGGATGCAAGTCTTCTAAGGTCTCTTCGGTGTCGCTTCTGTGTTTTGCGTGCCGGCCTCGGTTGGCCTTGGCTCTGCATGCGGTTCGTGCTTCTCTCGCCCGTCGCCCTTGTCCCTCTCGGGTTTGAGCCGTCTCGCTTCCTTCGCTGTCTCGGCTCTGTGGGGTCGTGGCTCTCTCTCTTCCGTCTCCCTGCCTTGTCTCTGCCTTGGCTTTGCGCCCGCTGCCTCACCTGTCCCTGCGGGGTTTGGCGGCTCCTGTGGCTGTCCTCGCTTGGTTCCTCTCTGTCTCTCGTCGTGTCTCTGCCGCTTTCGGTTTTGCTCTCGGCTCCGCCGCGTCGCGTTTTCTCCGGCTCCGGGCCTTGGCGACGCACCCCTTTTTCCCTCCTCGCGCCGGCCTTGGTTGGCCCTCGGCCGGCTCGGGGTCTCTCTGCTTGGCTCTGCCCTGCCCTGTGGGTCCTTCCTTGGCGGTTTGTCTGGGCGTCCTTTTTCTCCGGGGTTTTGCCTGCTGGGATCGTCTGTCCTCTCTTTTCCCGCCCGCCCCTTGGATCGGCGGTTTCGCCTTCGGCCCCCGCGCCGCCGCCCGCGCTCATCAAGCATGCAGGGGGCCCGCCCTCTGGTTGATGCGTGCTTCCCGCCCCTTTCCCCCCTTTCCGCCCTTCCCGTCCTGTCAGCCCGCGTCAGGTTGCAGAGCCAATCCCTGGCAACCTGATCTTGGCCAGCACGGGTGGCGTTCGACTCTATACCTCCGCGTGCGCCGTGGCCTTTCCCGTGCAGGAATTGCTAAGCCTGGCCCCGTTCCTCGCGAGCCTCAGCCTACCACGATCTCCAAGGCCTCTGCGCGTGCGCTGGCCCCCTTTTGTCGCTGGTCGGTTGTTCACCCTTCTGCCCCTCCTGTTCCCACCGCGGTTCTGTCCGCGCTTGCCTCGTCGTCTGGCACCCCTGCTTCGGCTCTGTCTGAAGCCACCTGGCAGAAGCCAACCTACCGTGGTCATAAGCTAAGCTGCCCCCGGTTGCCTGGGTTAAGCGGCTTCCCAAGGAGAGTGATGAGACTTACATGAGGCGTGCCGCGTAACAAGACGCTGGCTCTGCGTCAGGCTGGCAGCGATGACCTATGGAGCGGTGGGCCCAGGTGTCTCCACTGCTGCCCGCCTGCGTGGGATTAGCAGGTCTTGTCCTTCTTGGAGTCTCAGAAGTGGACTGACGTCACTGTGCGCCGGAGACATGACTCTGTACGTCAGTCTGCCTTCGGTGACGCAGCGTTCCTCAAGTGCGGTCACTAAGGTCCCTACCCCGCGCCGTGTTGGTTCGTCCCTTTCGTCTCGGCCTGCGGACCCTGTTCCTGAATGCGGTAATGATTCGGAAGTCGATCCTCCCGCTGACAGGTCTGCTGAAGTCCAAGGCTCCGCGTGCGGTTTCCCCTGGCTGTGATGCTGCGTCGGCTTCTGCGACTCCTGGCGGCGGCCCTGGCGCTGGCTCCGGCGTGTCTGCCGCCGGCGCGCCCCCTGCGTTGCCCGGTGTGTCGGCCCCTGCATGTCGATGTTGCTCTTACGTCGGTTCTGTCCGAGACCGGCAATCCCTCGGGATGGCACTTCCGTGAGCTTGGCGGCGCTGGTGAGCGCGCCTTCTTGGCCATTGCGGCCTCCTTGAGCTGGCAGCAATGGAAGTCCTTGGATTCCGCTGCCCTCGGCCGCAAAGCGGCGCGACTTCGTCTGCTCGCTTGCGATCACCTTGGCAAGCATCAGAAGGAATATGAGCCTGCCTGGGCTCCCGAAGGACCTGCGGCTGACGCTGGGCCTTTCGCCGGTCACCCGCCTCCTCAGACCTTGAAGGCGTACACGCGTGCCACTGCGGCCAAAGGGCTTCTGGTGCGATGGGCTTCTTCTCAAGGCCCTCTCCGAGCGGCTCGGCGTTCCCCTCATAGTTTTTCGGTACGATGGGGGTGGCTGGATGCGTCAAGTCCAGTCCTCCGTCCTTGCCGCGCGTGGTCGGCGCCGGCCCTGAGCGTGTCCACTGATGGACTTGTGAGTTTGTTGGTTGTGGCTTTTCGGTTCGCCGTCACCCCGTGGTCCGCGGTCACCACGAGGCTTGTAGGGTTCACGTCGTCCAGGATCACGGTGTCCCTTTCAAGGACATCGCGCTTGGTTGCCCTTGCCTCTTTGGCCAAGATCGCTGGTCGCCTGCGGCGGCAACTTGTCCGCGATGACCCCCGTCAGCGCCCTGCCTCGTCGCGGTGCGGCAGTCTGCCCTCGGCTCCTGCTGCGCTTGGGAGCAGCGCTCCGTGGTGGACTTGCTTCTGTGGGTTCTCTCTTTCCCTCCCGCCTGGGAATCATCGGTATCATGCCAAGGCCAAGCACTTGCGTGCGGCTCATGGCATTCGCAAGCCTCCCCCCTCAGCCGCGTGCTTCTCTGCGTACTGAGATCGGCTGGCTTGCTGCTGCGGATGACGCCTTTGTCGCCCGCTGGTCTGCCCAGTGGGAGTGCTACTCTCGGCGTCGCTGGCCGGGCTCCCACGATATCTGTAAGGAGGTCTCTTCCTTTCGGTCCTGCACGACCAAAACTGGCCACAAGTGGGTGCGTCAATTCCACGAGCGTCGGTCCTGCGGCTTGTTCATCTCGCGGGCGGGATCAGGCGGTCACCTCGGTCTGCGCTACGCCCTCCGTTGACGGCCAGCGCCCTCCGTTGGCCAAGCGGGGGGGGGTGTGGGCCCAGCGCCGGCGTGAGGGTTCCTTTTCGCTCAAGGCGCGCAAGCCTGGTCGCGCCTTGCCGTCTGAGCGTGCCAAGGGCGGTTCCGCCGTTGGCCGCGGTCTTCGCGGGGTGCGTGTTGGCGAGGCCAGTCATCCTGGTCCGGCCCCGCTTGGCGTCGCCTCTTGGAATGTCAGCTCCTTCTGGAAGCGATGATCGGGTTGGTGCCTGTGTTCTCTGTCTGCAGGAGGTTGGTCTCCGGGAGCACCAGGTGCCTGGCGCCTCTACTTTTCTCCAGCCCCGTGGGTGGCAGCTCGCGGTCGCTCCGGCCTGCGTTGGCGACGGCTTGTGCTCGGACCGCGGGCGTGGTCGTCTCCTCGCAGCTGGTGTCCTCCCTTCGGTCGGTGGCTTCCCGCGTCGGCGGCCATGGCTTGGCGGCGCTGTGTGGCGGCATGCTCACTGATGCGACCTGGACTCTGTCTGGTGCGGTTCGTCTTGGTTCTCAGTCCTGTGGGGACCCGGGCGCGTGTCCTTCGCTCGATCATGCGCTTTGGGTCTGCTCGGCGCCGGCCCCCGCCTGTCCTTTGGCTCGCCGGCTTGGCTGGTCCTTCCCTGTCGGTCCTGTGCAGGAGTTGGGCTCCGTTCGGCGTGCGGATGTCGTGAGTCGGGCGCGTCGGCGCGCCTGGGGGGGCCACCCCGGTCCGCCAGGCGGCGATGCCCCGGGCTGATGGTCTTTCCGGCGTCGCGTCCGAGCTTGCGTGCCGGCCTCGGTTCTGCCGTGGGTCTGCGCGCGTTCCGTGCTTCTCTCGCCCGTCGCCTTTGTGTGGCCGGTCTCTCGGGTTTGCTCTGTCCCTCTTGGGTTTGGGTCGTCTCGTCTCTGCTGTCCCGGCTCTGTGGGGTCGTGGCTCTCTTTTCTCCGTCTCCCTGCCTTGTCTCTGCCTTGGCTTGCGCCCGGCGCCTTGCCTGTCCCTGCGGGGTTTGGCGGTTCCTGCGGCTGTCCTCGCTTGGTTCCTCTCTGTCTCTCGTCGCGTCTTTGCCGCTTTCGGCTCTGCTCTCGGCTCCGCCGCCTCGCGTTTTCTCCGGCCTCCGGGCCTTGGCGGCGCGTCGTTTTTCCCTCCTCGCGCCGGCCTTGGTTGGCCCTCGGCCGGCTCGGGGTCTCTTTGCTTGGCTCTGCCCTGTGGGTCCTTCCTTGGCGGTTTGTCTGGGCGCGTCCTTGTCCCTTCGGGGGTTTTGGCCGTCTGTTTCTCGCCGCCTGGTTGCATGCCTGCTGGGGTTTTCTGTCTCTCTTTTCCGCCCGCCCCTGCTGGGCTTGGATCGGCGTCGGCCTCTGCGCCGCCGCCCGCGCTCGTGCTTCCCGCCCCCTTTCCCCCCTTTCCGCCCTTCCCGTGCTGTCAGCCCGCGTCAGGTTGCAGTACTCTCTCTTCCCCCGGTGGGAGAAATAACCTTTCGCCAAAAGGGCCGAGGCAACGATCGATCACATCGAAACGACTATCGAAGCATGAAGGTTCAACACTTAAACTTGAAACTGTTTGGGTTCTTCACTCAAGATTGCTACTCGCGACAACATGCGTGTTGTCCACAACAAGCAAAGTGTCAAACAGAAGGACGACTGCTTTCCCGAAGCAACATGATACAATGCACAGGGGGCAAACCGGGCGGAACCTGCACTAATCTTTGGGAGTTGCCCAAAGCGTTGCAGCTGGGTACTTTGTTGTTGAAATGACAGCATCTCGAATCGAATTCCCAAGCACCAACACAGAAGCCGCTAGGACTGGCGATTCCTTTCAAGGTTGCGGCTTTGGCTTTCCAAGTTGCAATTCCCCTGTGTGCCTTTTTCTCCTTCCCATGCTGTGGCCTTGCGGCCCCGACACGTCGCCACCTTCTGCTGCTCGATGTAGCGCCATGCCTATTGCAGGGCAGCAGCACAAAGCACCATCAGAGCACGTCTAGGTACGCATCCAAAAAAGCCAAGGCTCCACTCAAACGCAAACCGGTCAGGCTAAACGGCTAAACATCATCAAGCCACGACCACGGCTGTCACAGACCAGCGGGTCTGCCATGTTGACAAGGAGCAGCTGCACCTGCAGCGCTCAGCTGTCCTGGACTACAACAAAGCTGCTTGGCGCCGAACGGCTGCAGCCTCACCGTGTTTTGCTGCTGCACCAAGCAACCTGAATTGCACCATTGCACCGTCAATTGGGGCCATTGTGCGCTTTGAGTGGCAGGCGTCTCCCCAGTGCTGCAGTCTCTGGCAAGACCTGATAAGGTCTCTGATAGGGGCGCATGCGCTTTGACTAGCTTGGCTTCCAACTGAGAAGCATAGCAATGTCCTGCATGTTCCAGGCTCACAGGCTAAGGACCCAATACATATAAGATCATTAAAGAATCAAGCCGCGACTAACAAAAAAGCGCCTCGCGCTCGACTACATTCCTGACCTCAGCGGCCAAACAGAATACAAGGGAACGTAAATGCGTCTTCGAGCAAGAGTGGTCTGTGCTGGATCTTGATCGCTCTGGCTCTCAGCAGCAAACATGGCGGTCAGCATTTTGGGCTTGGTAAGCATCCTCCAGCCTGACTGATTTGTCCAGCACCATTGGAGTAACAGTCTAACACGTACTGTGGATGAGCGAAACCCTGAACCACTTTGGACTCTGTTTGTTGGTATTTACAGGGGAATCGAATCCTAAACCAAGGTTTCTGAACGGTGGCGCGATTTCTGGGTTTCGCAACCATCCACAGTATGACAAAGCACGTTGCATGTCGGGACTTAGGGCAGCTCAGCTTTTCCAGGACAACCACGTCACCCAGCCGGGCAGCCCGGAAAATCTCCCGAGAAAAGTTCAGTCCAAGCGCCTGAGGAGAAAACAAAAACCCTTGAGCTCAGAGCATGCAAAAGCACCGGAAGAGCTTGGCAGCACACCATCAGCAGAGCTGGTTGATTGTGGTTTTGGTCCAGCTCCTCCCCAAATCTCAGTGTGTCCAGCTATTGGAGCGTGATAAAGCAAGTCAAATGCATCTCACGCGCGGCGTGAGAGCAACAACATGTCCTGCGAAAGGTGCGACGAAATGGGCAGGTTGCCCTAGTTGTTGTGGTTAACTTGGGTCCCCCCCACGTCCTCCCTTAACCGGTCTGCTCATTGGCCGGCTCTCTCACTGCAATCCTCTGGAAGACCAGGTGGCGAGAGCCGTGTTGGAGCAAGCATCCTGACAAATGCAGACTCGGTCAAACAAAAATGGCGGTGTCTTCACCTTGGCGGGGTTGCACCGGTCGAGGTTCTGTCAATCCTAAGCCAAGATGTGGGTCAAAAATAAGTACCCAAGATGGAACCCTGGTCAATGGAAACATGGACTAAAACCTGCCGTCCATATTTCCTGGTGGCGTAATTTTGACCCATACCCCCAGATGCACAGAACCCCATGCCAGTCGCAATCTTGGGGGCCCCTGCCGGTGCTCCGACGCCGCGACTGCCCATGGGGGCGTAGGACCACGAGGTGTTGGTTCCTAAGCTGACGAAATGCCGAGCCGTCGCGTGGGACAAAAAGGCCAAAGGCCTCCTGGCGGCTGCACATCCTCGTTCCAATTGCGACAAGATGTGCTACGCATGGAAAAAAAAGGGGCACCGCTAAGAGCTGTGCAACGGATGTGGGGTAGCCAGCGCGTCCCAAGCCTAGCCCATGGCAGTTCAACAAGAACACATTGGTCCAGCGAGCGGTCTTGCTCCGCCCTGAAGCAGAACACAAAGCATCGGACGCGTCGCAAGGGTGGCAGCAACAAAACAAGCTGAGGCATGTTCAATGATCGAACCAATGCCGATTGAAATTCCCCGACAAAGATCCCGTTTGAGCGCCGCCAACAAACAGAATCCAACAGCAACACCAATTAACAGAAGCAGGAGATCCATCCGCAACACCAACAACAGGCGCAAGCACAGCAAGTACAGCCACAAAGCCACAAGGGCTCACAGTCGTTACGCACGTCAATAAGCACGCAAAGTAGACCCAAGTTCATGCTGGAAGCAGGTGAGCAAGTTGGTCTGCCATGAAGCTTAAACAAACGCCGTGCATTGCGTTGTCCGGAACAACCCTTCCCCTTCGCAAGTTGAGCTGGAGGGAAGGCGGGCGAGGGAAAGGAGTGTGCTTCTTGTTTTTGAATGCTGTGGCTTCATGCGAGCTGCGCGGTTCTAGCGCGGTTTTCGTACATGCGCGACTTTTCAGTCAAGAAAGCAGAGCAGCAGCCCTCGCTTGCTCGGCACGGTCCACCGCCTTGTACTTACCAGACACCGCCTTGATAGCGTTTGGAACGACAATATCATCTTCTGGACTTCTTATCACCCGGTTGCATCCTCAGAGCGGTGGCGGAGCTGTGTTTGCTGAAAGGACAGTGGCGTCAGACAAAGAATCCGTGTGGATGAATCCACCATACGGCCGCTTGGGCTGGCCGACATGTCAGCACAGCGTCCGCGGAGGAACGCATCAACCTGTGGATGACGATGCCTGAATTGCCGCCATCCTTTGACCTCCGTGTTAACTAGTTCTGGTGTGAGGAACTGGTTAAAGGACGGGTGCTGTAGGAACCGCCAAAAAAGAGGTTCTTATTTTAGACAGATGCGTGCGGGCACATGTCGCAGGCCTGGCAGCTCTTTTCCACAGAAAGCCAGGTCACGGATGTGACTGAAAACATCAATCAGGTCCAGGTGTTCACGGACACATCGCCGACAGTGAGATTGTTTTTTGTTTTGTTTTTTTTTCCCGGTGATACTACTCGCGTTTCAAAAGTGCCTTGCCCAAATGCAGTTCGGTTGAATCAACGCAATGTTGCAAGAAGCAATTCTTTCAGGCCCACCCTGTTGTCCAACATGTTGCCGCAGAGCATGCTGCTACGATTGCAGTCTTCCAGGTTACAAATCTGCGCGCTTGTTCCTTGTCGTAACTCCTAGATACCCTTGGCTGCCGTCACTCCCTCACTGGCAATGTGTGTTCCAGGAAGGAGCCATTAAATCAAACAGGGCCATGCTTGCTTTGCGTTTCAGTTGGCATCACATTGAATTTCAGGAGGCAATGCGCCTAGCGATATGCAATCGGTGCATCGCTCAATCAATGCTTCCAGCCCTTCGAGCCCCACCTCCTCATCACGGCTGACGCAGCCCCTCAATCCGACACAACACCTTCGTGTTTCGAGGCTTGAAGTTGACATCCTGAGCCCAGTGCGACCAAACGTGGCTGGCCTGATGCTACAGAGGTCATAAGGAGGGAAGTAGCCGCGAGCAGCACACCGAGTCGCTGGCATCTAACTTGGCATTCTCAACGCATGAATTGCACGACTGAGCCGCATGAATGCGGATTCTATGCGATGCAAGGTCACACCAAACAATGAAGCACTGAAGCCGGGTTGTCCAAAAGTTAATAGCCCAGGTCGTGCAAACACTTCAGTTTGGGCAGTCAGACTTGTTTCAATGACTCAGCCAATCAATCGAACCAGACCGACCATACACAGGATATAGTCGGAACAAATCGACCTCCTCAACACAAACGTCCAGAACAAAGACCATGAAACTCGGCAATCCCCATCGATTTCAACAACTGTTTGTTTCACCTAAGTGACTGTCCTGACCTTGTGATGGTTCCAGCAGTCAACATGTTCCACTCAGGAACTAGGAATATGTTCTTTGACATTGCCTCAGCTACCCAGGCTTAACCCTTGATTTCACTCCATCTGACTCCTAAACCATAACTCTCAGCAATCTTAATAGGCTTCGAACATTGTCACAGCATGCGTCACAAAGCCGTCTATGTGACACGTGTGC